GATTTAGATCACTACTTAGTATGACTAGTTCCAATGCCAACAAAATAAATGGACAGCACACGAGAATTTTGGTTCAGACAATTTATCAAACACTTGGCGTGCGGAGCATTCCCAGTGAGTTCAGCTTTGAGTAAGTAGCTCTAGTTTCCTTGTACAATAAACTATTGTACTAGAGTCACAATTAATTCAGCACTTACTCAAAACAATCCTAAATTCGATATAATTGTTTGTACGAAAATCTCGGAAATATTAAGCAAATGTAAAAGCGTAATATAAAAGGCACAAGGATTTATTGAGGCAGTTCCCCCACCGTCCTCGCTTCGGGGTACGTCTGCTCTCAATTCTAACAATAGAATTGAGCTCATATAATATAAATGTAACCTTTTGTAGAACCGTTTATACAAGAATAGAATAGCAAATGCACAAACAAACTCCCTTGTTGTTGAAGATGCTTTCTCTTCTTGTCCCTTGATTCGAGTCGAATCAAGTCCTTTGGTAGCTTGTGGATGAACCTCCGATTACAGCTCTTTGTTTGAACAACCTTACATCTTCAAACCCCATCCCGGTTGATCTCAAACACTCGCTAATCGAACCCGAACTTCTCCGTCACAATTCACCGATTACCACTACTAGATCGACGGAACCCATCGCTCCTCGATCACCTTCGCTCAACTAAATCTATGTTGAGAAGATTCGTACCAAAAACCCTCAAATTCAGAGAATCTTGGAGGACAAAATCCTAAAGGTTTTATTCAAGAAAAATCTGCCAAAATCTCAACCCGAACCGGATTCCCAATCAACGGCTTCAGACGTTATCACTTCAAACAATCCATAATGCACAGCAAAGATTATTGTGTGTGATTGTTGTGGTATGAAATGTAGAAGATGAAGATGATGAGAACTTCAATTGACACCGCTTTCACTTTTCTTGTTTTCTAATTGATTCAATTATTATATGAAATAAAATGAGCAACCTTTTTTTTATATCATGCCAAAAATAACTGACACGACCACTTTTCAAAAGTAATGAACAGACCAAAATTATGCAGCAAAATAGCGAACGGTCGACCATACAGAAGGAAGGGTCAACCTGAGCTACCCCAACCAAAACAAACTATGCAAAATAACCAGTTATGCGTCGACCGAAACAAGACTATACGTCGACTCAAAGTCTGAATTTTTTGACAAACAGAAATGACAACAGTATGCGTCGACCGGTAGGTCGACGTGCGCCAACCCGAAGAAAATGCAAGTTAGATACACCTTCTATGAGTCGACCGGAGAAGATATGTGGTCGACTCAAAGACCTGAATTTGGCAAAAATACCAATTTTGATGTTTTTGACTCTTCTAGATGCAACTTTTAACATACCAATGAGGTTTCACTCGTATGAAGACACTCAATGCAATACTTAAGATGTTTTATGCAAGCAAATGAAACATGAGAGATAAGGTAAGCTTATGCATTATGGTGATAATGCCAAATATCAATTCTTCCATGCAGTTGCGTTTTGACATCATCGAAACACACATATATAGTATATGAGGCTTTGCCCTCACAAGCCCATTCTCATGCCCCGACTTTTGTCTTCTCTTTGCTTGACTGGGACCGTGAACCACTCTGGTGCCTTCACTTTTAGGGTTGTGCTAGATGACATCTTCCCTCTTTTGTTTTCTGCAGGTGGTTGAGTTTACCTCCCTCAAGTATCTTTTTCTGGTGGCATGTTGTTATAGCCTCTGTGTAAGCTTATTTTTATTTGTGTGTATTGTCTACAACCTTTTTTGTCCTCGACAATTGTTTAGCCAATTTTTGTCTATTTTAGAGCACCGCTCGTGCTCCACGTTTGTATCTTGTATTCTTATTCTCTTTTCTTTATTATATATATTTTGATATGCTTCTGTTCTACTATTTTAAAAATTCTTGTTGCCAATATAAAAATCTCTTTGATAAATAATTTGTCTCTTTTCGAGCTATTCTGGTGAATCTTAGTACTCAACTCAAATATTTTTTTTAACATAAAAAGTACTTCTAATTGATTAGTGAATATTTATTTTTATAATAACCAGCAAAATACCCGTGTGAACACGGGTAAATTTATTTAATATGATATAAATTTTATTTAAATATACATATAAATTTGAAATGAGTTATTTAATTATAAAATGAATAATGATAATATAAATTAAATTTTAACATTTGAAAATAAAAATTTTGTTTCTTAAATAAAGGTAAATGTTAATTAAAATAAAATAGGTATTTTGATGATAGTGACAGTGAGAAAATAGAAATTTTAACATTTAAAAATAACAATTTTGTGCTTCAAATAAAGACAATTGTTAATTAAAATAAAATAGGTATTTTGTTGATATTGGCCCGTGAGAAAAAGAGAAATTTTGATATTTAAAAATAAGAATTTTTTATCTCAACTAATGAAAGTTATTAATTAAAATAAAATAGATATTTTTCTGATAGTGAGCTGTGAGATGGAAAGTTAGTTGTGTGTTTGACTATTCAGTATTATCTAATTTCATAAAATAAATTCTTCATTTTATTAAAATTTAAAAATAGTTTGATTAATATTTTTAATAATTATAAATAAATAGAATTGATTAAATTTTTTATAAAAATAAAATTAAATGTCAATATTGCATACATTTATACACCAATAAATATTTAATATGATAATCATATACTATAATTATAATGATTGAAATGATGTCATGTGTAAAAAAAATTGAGACATGATTGGAAAGAGCATTTATCACATTTTCATATGAATATCACTCATATACTTTTTTTCCTTCCGTTTCAAAATAACGTCGTTTAAGGTTTTTTTACACAGATTAAAGAATAAAATGATATTGTTATAAGATATTACACTTTTACTAAATTAGTCTTATTAATGTGTTGGAAATATTATACAGAGTAATAATTAAATGATACAATTGGAAAATAACAATTATTACTACATTGAAAAGTGAAAATTACATTAAATTTAAAATAAAAATTTTCCTCTAAAACGACAATCATTTTGGAAATGCAGAATTACAAAATTTTTTAAAAGTTAAAATTCATAAATATTAACAATTTATTTACATTAATACATAAATTCGATGTCAATGATTATACCTTAGATAATAATTTATACAAATTTTATTTAAATAATACTCTCTCTATTATATTATAATTTTTTAAATTTATTGAATAATTATTATATCTGATCTATATATAAAACAAATATATTAATTATTCAATAAATTTAAAAAATTAAATTTTTTTTTATAATTGATACTACGGAGTACATATCAATTGAATTACATCACTCACTCATATATTTTACAAATTAATGTTTCTTTTGTTTTAAAGTGAAATTATTTTCTGATTTCATAGTAAAATTATTAAAAAGTTATTTTAAAAAATTATAATTTTACTAAAACATATTATAATTTTTTTTACTATAAACATATTTAAAATATTATAATTTTAATATAAATTATTAAAAATATTATAATCATTAAAAAATATTAACTATCAATCTATTTTCACTATCATAAACGCAAAATAAAATATAATTTAAAAATCAATATGCTAATAATTAGAGGATAAACCTAGTTTATTCTCTAAAATGAAAATAATATTTAGTTCAAAATATTTTTTTTATAATAAGTTTATGTTGATTATAATATAGAAAGAGCAATAAAGAGCTCATTGAATATAACTCACATGACATCTCTTCCCTTAGATGAGATGAGATGTCTCTTTCTCATGGTCAATGTCATGGCCGTTGGCTATCAAGGATATTGTACTTGCAAGAAAGAAGAGATGAATGGATATCTTCTTTTTCAAAATAATTACTAAAAGGGCCTTTTAATTATGCATCATGATTTTAACTCTTTGCCTAAAAAAGATTTAACTCTTTTAATTATAGCAACTAGCAATTTGAAAGAAAAAAACATCACGGAATGAATCGTGGGTGTGTCAATTGGCTGAGCAACATGTGTTTGGGCAACATCATGTTTCACACTATTTTAGGAACCGGTCTATAATTGCATCTTTTCATTTGTTTACTGTAGTTGGGTTTGTTTTGGTTAGATATAGCTACTATTTTAAGCCTCCAACTTTGGTCTCTGAAACGATATTTCCTAGGAACCTCACTTTTTTAGTAATATCGAACAGTAGCACCCTCACACGAATGAGTATGAGAGAGTTTTATAGTCAAACAAAGCAACTAGCTCTGCACAAATTCTCAATCTCTGTGACGTTTGACAAATTCCTCACATTCATGAGATTTTTTGTCTGCATAGGTGTCACTTTCTTATGTGCAATTTGTTGTTCAGTAAGTCTCATGTGATGTGCTTAATCTTGCGGCTATTTTCCCTTGAAAACTGTGCTCTTTAACGCGTTATTCTTGGATAATCACAATAATCATGATCTCATCATACAACTAGCGATTCATTATATTACTTGGTATATAGTTCTGCCGTTATATTTGACATAAGATAATGTAACATGTACCATATGAATTTTACATGCTTAATGCTTCCTTCTTGCAATACTAGTAACTGATAGTAACTTTTACTTGACAATAATTATCATAAATTGTAAATATTTCAGAGAATGTTATTTATTTTTAAAAACAGAGAGAAAAAGGAAAACCATATGTATATGATAGTAATAATAAAAATGTATCTATACAAAAAATATTAAAAAATAAAGATGCAGTTCAATTGGGTAGACATTGTCTTTATTTCTTAAATAGATGAGAAATTGAGAACTTAAAATAATATTAATGTAGTTTAGAGTGTATAAAGACCTAATGTACGCCAATTCTAGCAATATGTGTCTTAACCACACTTGAACCATAATCATGAAGTTCTCGCTTATTATAATCTTTTGAGTGTATGAACTATGAAGACCTAATAATGTATGCCAATTCTAGCAAATGTTTCTCAGTTTTCAATTTCTTTGGAGAAACATAGATAGATGGTTTCTGCTCCAGTTCAAGATGCTAAGGTTGTTGGTTCACAACCATCATGCACACAGGCTAGGACATCTCTGTAATTCCTTGAAACGGAAAAAGAATCGTAGACGTTTCCGTCGCTACTTTTTTTGTATTCAAAGAGGAGGGATGAATGATTGAATGCTGTTAACTTGACAAACCCAAAGTCATAGTCTCTGTAAAGACTCCACTTTGGAGTGACTTGGCTGAAATTGGACAAGTGGCTTCCTGCTCCTCCAACAACAACATGAATTGTTCCATTCACTATGCCTGAATAATGAGATTTTTCTGTATTCACGCATTGATTCTACATACGTATTTGGTTCATCAGAAAATTAGCATTAGCATGTGAGTCATTAAAATATAAATAAAATAACTGCATATTTGATTATTGTCCTTACCTGATAAATGGGGCATGTCCTTTCATAGTTATGAACATGGCCATAAAATGCAATATCAACTTTGTATTTCTGCCAAAGTCTCTGCAAACTTTCCCTTCCCATCGGCTCTTCAAATGATCCTTCCAGCCCATACCAAAAGTCAGAGGAATATCCAAGTACACGATGAGCAGCAAAGATCAACCATGGTTGTTTTTGTCTGTCTACTGTTGCAAGACAATGCTCAATGAATTTGTACTGTTCAGATCCTTCTCGCCAATCATGTTCAGTATCAGCTATGCAGAAGCGAAACATGCCATAATCGGTTGCATACCTGAAAAACTCAGAAATTCATTCATTTAATAACTTGGATATACATTGTTAAAGCAATAAACTCAAATGTAGAGAGTCAGAGCCATTTTTCCATTAACCTCAATGTAACATGGTCATGCACATAATCAAATGTACAGAATTGAATCTCTCAGGAAACTGAACTCACCAAAACTTTGCTCTATTTTCAGCTGGAACATAAAACATGGTTTCAGCCAAAACTCCACACTCGCCGCCTGAATCTGTAGTGTTGTAAAAGGATCCTGTGTCGGGCCAATCACGTTCGTGATTACCACTGCAGGATGATTGCAATCAAGGTTCAATATACAAGTAACATGTTAATTTATTTCACCTGCCACTGTTACAAGGTATGCATGCAGAATAAAAACAAACCTGGCAATCATATATGGTACTGTTGATGCAATTGGTTCCACTTGAGCTGTGAATTGGTCCCACTGGGAGATGTATCCGTTTGCATATGATATATCTCCTATGTGGAAAACAATGTCTATATTTTTTAAATCTTTGATAAGCTGATCAGTGGTGTTTAGTGACCCAGGTTGGTAGTTACTATACTCATTTGAACCATCACGCTCGGCCTGAAACACATCGGAGGAAAGTTAATATTTTCCCCATCAATAAATCAAGGCCATTCTGAACAGTTATTATATCATGGACAGGTAGTCATCTCATGAGATAACTTTACATGGACCCCATGTTTCCAATTCTATGCAGGGCCCCTAAAAGTGTTAAAAAAGTTTAGATATTCAACAGTAAAGAAGATCCTCACTTTGCCCATGTCACCAAATATGACAACACGCTGCAGTGAGTCCTGTCCGGGATAAGGCGATGACTTGAATGAATACTTCTTGCTCCAAATGTACGAGCCATTAGACAAAAGATGACCTAATCGGTACGTATACCTGAGAAATGTATTAACGAAAACTATAAAACAGACTCTGCAAATCCTCATTGTGTTATGAACATGAATAGATTTCTGAATGCATACACTAAATTTGGCCATAGATTTTTGAGAAAACTTGTGTGTATGAAACCAGGGTCACGCCAACCAACCGTTTGTGCAGGTGAACCTGCAGAGTGAGAGTAGCAAATGGACCAGATTATGCAGTGCAGATACAAAAGTGGCCATTCTAAGTTTCTATTGAATGAGAACCATTTTGGAGATGATAAAAAGACATGATTAACATTTCAAAATTTGATTCGAGGGGGCACAATCAAGAAGTAGTTTATGTTAAAATACAATCAAGTTGCAAGAAACACAAATGAAAAATGAGGAGAAACAAATTTGATGACAATTTAGACAGGAAAAGCATTACTGCCATGGGATGACTTCTGCTTGCCTCAAGCCTATTTCTATAACAAGTTAGATATTCCGTTCTTCGTTTCTTATAACCTTGCGCCCTCTGTTTCATAAGGACTCGCCCTAGTATAATATTCTGAAAAAAGAAGTTTGCGCTCCTTCATATATACACAATAGGGAACATTATGATTTCAGTTTAGATCAGTTATGATCACGAAGATTCTTAGTAGCTTCATAAAATTGCAGGATGCCACAGAAATTCGATTTACCATGTGATGCAATAAAAATACCAAGCATATTAAATACTAACTGAATTAGACTGTGTAAATCTGCATACATTAATAATCCAATGTATTGCCCTGCTAAGCAGATTAAATAAACCATACCACACATGCTGTTCCGATCAAATGTCAATGTTCCAGCAGGACTTTGCCCAGGCGTTTGTCCGTCAGAACCCCACTCAACAAAAGGTGTAGCTTCATTTATACCATATCCACTTGTCCATGTAACTGTCATCTGCAAAAGACAATAACAACAATCCTTGAAAGCACTTGCATAGCTCTAGTAGACATAGTGTTTCCAGAATGTTCAAAGAGCAAAGTAAAATTCCTTTTCCTTAAGTATTAGGTCAAACTTAAAAAGTCCAACGACACCATTTTATATATCTACAAATATTGATGGTTGTGTGCTCAAACTTTATTAGCTCTATAGATTGTTTGTTATGGGAAATTGGTTAATTTTAACTTGATGGTTCATATAAAGGAAAGCGTCACATTAGTAAATATTACAATTTTGGTGTGTATTATGTTAACAAATGTGGTTAGGCCTAACTCAACCCTACAAAACCAGCCTACCTACAAAACCAGCTTGTAGGGTGAGGATTGCCTCCACTTATAAAGACATGTTCAAGCCATATATTATCCGATGCGGGACTCATAACATATTATATTAATGACCTCAAATATGAAAACAAACTTACTTCATCCCAAGACTTCCCTTGAGCGAGGCGAGGATACAACGGTGCTTTAGGGTTAGCAAATTTTATGAAATTTGAAACAGCCACAAGTTTAGGCTGCAAAGCTTAGTAAAATGATTAAAAGTATCCTATTTGCGTCAATACAGATTGAGAAGGAATTAGCAAATATATGAACAAATGAAAGAGTCCGAGACGCACATTTGATATTCCGCCCGAGAATAGCGCAAAGGAGAAATCTGCACGTTGATTGATCAACCGAAACCTCAAAGAAGCTTTTCCCGTCTTGGTATAGTGTGAGTTTGAGTAATTCACAAACTTGTACTGGAACAAAGATTCACATGAATTTTGAATTACATTAGTAATGTTCAAGTTAGAGAGTTAACCAAACAAACCTATATAGATATATTGATTTAGTGCACCTTAATTGGGGCCGAGCATATGAACGGAATCTGTTCTTTCGGATCATTTACAGGTGGACAGGTTGATGAACTACCGATGAAAAAAACACGCGGGTAAGTCGTCATTTTACCATACATTAGATGCGCATGTTTTAGAACAATGCAAAAATTGAATAGAATCTGATAATGATAAGAGAGCATTACTTGAAATTTGCAGGAGAGAAAACTCCAATCCAATCATCAACAGATGGATGAGTAAAATCAAAATCAACAGTGACCCATTGAGTATCCTCCCCCTGAAATCACATAGTATGAGTCAACGTTGAAAACTTGACGAAGTTTTTGTTATGTGACGTAGTTACCTTCGTGCCGAGAATAAAAGGAGTGGCTGTAACTGAGGCACTAGTGTGAAGTGAAACAACGGTTTTGTGAATTGCGATTTTGGAGAGTGGTTGTTCACCGAATCCAGTAGCATGAGCAAAACCGAAAACAAAGCATGTTAAGGTTGCTACTAGTACTACTAGAGTAATAATCATGTTGTGTTTAAAGTTCATTTTGGTGAGAATTGTGGTAGTATATTCACTTTGACTTTAGGCAGAGGAAGATGAATTTATCAGTAAACCGAATTCAGATTGTTCCTAAACAACCGGCTTTTCGATAGCTTCGAACCACAACATGGCATAGCGCTGTGCGATACAACTGAATTTTTGTATTTAATTGATTTTACATTTAAGCTAATCATTGGTAATAGACCCTAGACTAAAATGAGAAGTAATATTAATGCATACAAATATTTTAACAAAAATAAAAAATATGAAAGATAAATAAAACCTTTTAAAAAAGGTATAAAGATTATTTAAAATTTTTTTTTGTAATAATGAATTAGAAAAAAAAATTGGATTAAAAAAAGAAATATAAATTAATAATTGATTCAAAATATGAATCTGATAGTAATAAATTATTAAAATTTATTCTTTTATTTCTTATTTAATGTTTTTTTACTCAATTTAATATTTTCTTAAGAATACGTATTTTTCACTATAAATTAGGATATATATATTTATACCGAAATAGGGGATGAATACTACATGGTGATTAGTAAATAGATAGTAAAAAGAATGTGTAGTATTATTGTAAATGTTTAAATTTTAAGAAATATGTTTTATTTTTTTAAATATAAAATCTTAATGAATTTTTACCAATAAATAGAAATATTATTAATAGAAAAATTAAGATTTAAAAAATTATAAATTTAAATACAGTAAGGAATAAGGAGAAATTGAAAATTTTGTGATAAATAGTAAAACAAATAAATATATTATTCTTTTCTAATTTTGAATACAATAATTCTTATTTGGAACGGTTTGATATAATAACTAGTAGTGAAGTTATAAAAGAATAATAAAATAAAATCAAGAATTAAATATAATTAAGACAATTACTTTAGAATAGATAGTACAACTTTAAAAGACTTACTCTAATAATTAAATCCTTCCAAAGTTATATGTTAAAACACATATAAGTCGGTTCTAAACATAATAGTTTCAAATATAAAGGTACAAATTTTGATATATTCTAAATAAAATGAAAAAAATTGATTAAATACATCTTTAGTAAACAAATATAAAATTGAGATTTCCTATTTAGTATGAATACATTGCCAACAAATTAAATAAAACAACCACCATATCATATATAATACAGGGATATTTCATAAAGTTATTTATGAGAATATAAAAGTAAAAGTAATCTTAATAGACAATTTTTCAGTTTGGTTAACTCATTATTCCGTAAAATATAAATTTCCTATGCAAAAGAAATGCATATCTTAAGTAAGCATATTACATTAAGTATGTATTTATTTTTGGTTAAATGTACTTGTCACCTTCTTTAATCTATATTTTCTTTTGAAATAAGACATTTAATACCTAAGTATGGGTGAACAACCATCGACCGATTACACACATGTTTATTTTTTCTGCATGGTTCAAGCAACAATTATCATGCATTGTTGCACCAAGTCCTGAAATAATCTATTTGAGAAGTTTATCCAAAGACCCTCGTCAACGTTCAAATGAATGACACATACTTTGTAAATGAATATAAATTTTACACTCAACCATGGACAAAAGGGAAGAAAACAATAAAAAGTGGTGTTTTGTAAAAGGAGTTACGGACGATGGTGATGACGACTTCTATGGTGTTATCACATATATTTATGAGTTGGTATATAATTATATGGACTCAGAAAATAAATTGTCCTATTTTATTGTGACTGAAATAATCCATCTTCTAGAGGAACTAAAATAGATTTAAAAAAACAATATAACACTGTTGAGGTTTGAATGGATAGAAAGTACAAAGATTATGACTCTTTCATAATGGCACATAATATTAGGCAAGTTAATTAGGTACCTTATCCTTCAATTTAACCAAATAAACGAGGATGGTGGGTTGTAATCAAGTCCAACTCAATGAGTCATATTGAAATTGACTGTGTAATGCAAGGTGATATTGCATACTAAGATGATGAAATGTCACTAGTTAATGGAGTAATTGAAATTGAGAAAATTACAAGTTTGGGTGATACTTTAGTTGTGAGTCAACAAGTTAACGCAACTATCTTGTTGTCAATAAATCATGTGGAAGAATAGCAAGAAGAGTCAGGAGAGTCTAAAGACAATAATATCATATCTGATGAAGACAGTGAAGATTACAATGATGAATAATTTGAATAATATGTATTATGTAATAATATTATTATGCAATAATACTATTGTGTAATATTTGCTTGAATTAATATTACTCTTATTTTTATGTTTTTGTGATATATTTTAGAAAAAAAAATGCCATCACGAAGTGAGAAAAAGGGTAAGGGTAAGGCTCGTCGTACAAGGTTCATTGTAGAAGAGGTTCATGATTCGTCTATGTTTATTCCACCGCATGTGCTACCTACTCCACTGCTTATGCATTCTACTTCAGCCATATCTGGATCTTTCACTGAAATATTATCCACACCAATTTTTCTTCATTCCTACCCATATATGCGCCGACTTTTATTAGTCCTCATGAATATACACCTATTATGCATCCTGGCACCTCGCATCCCACATATTTTCCGATGCCTTCCATGCAGTCGAGCAAACCTAGCTTTTTGATGCCTTCTATGTAGTTGAGCGGTCCTAGCTTTCCTATGCCTTCCATGCAACCTTTTATGCCATATATGGAGGCAGGTGGATCTAGCATGCCACATTTATCACCCATGCATTCTACACTTGATGAGCAAGATAATGAGGATGATACTAGTGCTCATGGTCTTAAAGATACCAGTTCTCATGATCATGGAGATACCATGCATAAGCTCTCTTGCCGAAACAAGAAGGTTCATTGATCACATTAACCACATACATGAATAACTCTCTTGTCGCAACAGGAAGTTTCATAGAAAAACTCTCTTGCAGAAACGAAAAGTTTTCCTCATTACATTCATAACTCTCCTGCTGGAACAAGAAGTTTCAGAGAAAAACTCTCTTACCGAAACAAGAAGTTTTCCTTATTAGATTCATGACTCTCCTGCCGAAACAAGAAAGTTTCATATAAACTCTTTCGCTGAAAACGAGAGGTTTTCCTCATTACATACATAACTCTCCTGCCGAAACAGGAAGTGTTCATAGAAAGCTCTCTCGTCAAAACAAGAAATTTTCCTAATTGCATAAATAACTCTCCTTCCAAAACAGGAAGTTTCATAGAAAAGCTCTCTTGCCGAAACGAGAAGCTTTTCAAACCTGCCTTATTGCATACATAGATTTTGTGTCAAAATAGAAAATTGCATCCATAACTCTCCTATTGAAACAAGAAGTCTCGTAGAAACTCTTTTGCTGAAATGAGAATTTTTCCTCATTACATACATAACTCTCCTGCCGAAATAAGAAGGTTCATAGAAGAACTCTTTGTCCGAAAACGAGAAAATTTTCAAATATGCATCACTACATACATATATTTTCTGCCGAAATAGAAAATTTCATCCATAACTCTCCTTTTGAATCAGGAAGTCTCATATTAACTCTCTAGTCGAAACTAAATTTTTTTCTCATTACATACATAACTCTCCTGCTGAAACAAGAAGGTTCATAGAAGAATTCTCTCAGCGAAACGAGAAGTTTTTCAAATATGCATCACTGCATACATAGGTTTTCTGCCAAAACAGAAAATTTCATCCATAACTCTCTTGTCGAAACAGGAAGTTTTATAGAAGAACTCTCTCGTCAAAACGAGAGGTTTTCCAACCGTATCATTGCATGCACATATTTTTTGCCGAAACAGAAAATTTGATTCATAACTTTCAAGTCGAAACAGGAAATTTCATCCAAAAGAACTGTCTCGCTGAAATGAGAAGTTTTCATCCAATCCCATATTTCATTTCATACCTATTTTTCCTTGCGAGAAAGGAAATTTGATCCAAAAGAGAGCCTCCTGCTGAAACGGGAAGTTTTCAGAAAAATCCAAGTATCCATTCATGTTCCCCTAGCCTTTCTGCCGAAACAGAAATTTCATCAGACACAATCATATCAATCATTAACATGCTCATGTGCTTACATACATAGTCCTCCGCAGAAATGGGAAGTTTCATCCAAATGAATAAAATTATTCACATTTTTACATGTAGGGGTGTGCATGGTTACCAAATTATAAGAACCAATCCATTTTATTGGATTTAGTTTAAAAACCAAACCATTTCTTATGAAAACCAATTTGAAAATGCAAAATGTTTTCAATTTGGTTCAAAACCAATTCAAACCGGTTTTAATTAAAAAATTGTTTGTAATAAGAACCATAAATATGTAACTTACTTTATTATTAGAATTTTTTTTTGACATTATGTAGCTTTAATACTGCTATATGGCACGACATCCCATCTCTTCTAATTGCGTTAACAATGAGCTACAATGAACAATTTGTCTGGCGTATGAATTTTTATATTTTATTGTATTTTATTTAATAAATTAAAATTGAAATAATTATAAAAGCTATTTTTTTTTTAAGTTATTACCTTTGTCGATGTTTATTTAGAATAATGTTCAGAAGATTATGCTTTTTAACTTATTATTAACTTTTAGTTTGGCCTCTAAATATTTATTCTTTTTAGATATTATGATTTTTTAAAAATATTTTAATGACATTAATTATTATGTATTATTACTGTAAATTTTCTTACACAGAAAATGTATCACAATTATTTATAAATATTATTTATAGATGATTAAAATAAAAGCTAAATATTTTATAAAAAACTAAAAATAAAAGTTAACTATTAGTAAAAATTAAATAATCACAGTTAATTAATTGTGTAAAATTTCTTTACCCAGTGCATAACAATTAAATTTTAATTAAATTACAAAAATTTGATATTTTACTAATTGAAAATCTAGTCTCCTTAATTATTATGATTAAAAATTAATTTTTTTCAATGTTTATAATATAAGAAATGAAAATACAATAAAAAAGTTAAAAAAGACTAAGTTAATTTATTAAAATAAAACAAAAAATTGAAAAG